AGAGAGGATGTAGGGGACGGAGAGGGGGGGGAGTGAGAGGATGGAGGGGACAGGGTGAGAGGAGAGGGGGAGAAAAAGAGGATGGAGGGGACGGAGAGCAGATCTATAATTGGCTCCGTCAGCAGTAAAATATTTTTGGGGTCCTCAAGTTCCACCTTCAAGTGAACCCCTATTTCTCTGCAAACATTCAGGGCCCATTCAGACCTTTCTGCAGCATTGGGGTTAGGCGGCCCGTTCACGTTTTACTGGACCTGCGGCATTCATTTCATCACATTGTACCACGATGCATAGGCAAACCCAGCTGTGGTGATACTACAAATCTCATCATGCATCTCTGGGAGTCATGCCTGTGGCAGTGAGTCTTGCAATGCCTCATGGGACTTGCAGGGCCACCACAACAGAGTGGCGAGGCTGCCGACCCTTGGCATAGAGCAGGGGTAGGCATACTTCAGCCCCCAGCTGTTGTGGAACTACAAGTCCCATGAGGCATTGCAAGACTCTGACAGCCAAAGGCCTGACTCCCAGAGGCAGAGGCATGATGGGATTTGCAGTTCAATTAGCTCATCTTAGGATCACAAATAACACATCACACAGCAGGTCAGCCGATCATGAACAATATGAGGACACGCGGGAAGCGGCTCCCCATACTGACCAATCACAATTCTCCTCCATTGTTACCATAATATGGAAACTGAAACTTTCTCCACCGAAACTCTTCTCTCCAGTTACAGTGAATCTTCCATCCAGACTGAGCTCTTCACCCCCTCGCCCTGTACACCCCCCATACACCCCCCATGGTTACATCCCAGAGCCTGTTTATAACACACACACATACACTATATTGCCTGAGCTCCTGAGAGCGACCCGTTCCTTCACAAATGTTTGTAGAAGCGTCTGCACGCCGAGGTGCGTGATTGTATACACATGTGGCCATGGAGGGGATTGGAACACCTGAATCACATGATTTGGAGGGGGGGGTCCCAATACTTTTGGCAATATATTGTATATAAGTGGAGACATGTAGGGACAGGAAGTGTGTTATTGGCAGGATCACCAGGTGACCATAAGTCCCCATTCACACCTTTGCGTTGTGTGAACGAGTGCCAAAACAAATGAGACGGGACCCCCCCTGCTGAGGTCACAGTCCTGGTCAGAAGGGAACCCGGGGACACATTGGGCTTTCTTCAGTTAATATCGTTCCCCCTATTTTGGCTAATATTCGTATTGCAGTAAGATAACGATGATTCTCTCACATGCGGGACGTTTATGGGAAACGTATTCACAGATCGATCTCCAATTCCTTCACTTTCCAAGTTTCAGATGTAAGAAGTAACATTCCGTGAGTGAGATCGCAATGGCGGGGGAGAGCGGGTGAACAATCGGGTATACGGGGCCGTCTACACCATAGTGTTGCGCTCAATGGCGCGGTATCCGTACGTTTAGCGCATGCTCACTAGACATGTGCGATTAGTTTCGTTACGAATCGAAATTCGTCCGAATTTCCTGAAATTCATAAATCCCGAAGCATCCGAAATCCGAATGGCAGTTCCCGAATTTTTATCCGAAATACGAAATTCCGTTAACGGATTCCGGATCCGAATTTCATATTTCGGATTAAAAAAAAAATACCATCGACTCCAATATATTAACAAAGGTGTTTTTGCTTTTTAACTTCATCATAACGAATGTTCGTAACGGAACGAAAATACGTTAACGGAATTTCGTATTTCCTGCCCGTGTATTGTAATGCAACTCTCAGCAGCAGCGGATCCGAATTTCGTATTTCGGATAAAAAAAAAATCTTGTCATGTTGTTCAACCTCATTTCCAGGGGTAATATTAGTTCCCGTTTCAACCAAATTCGGATCCGGAATCCGTTAACGGAATTTCGTATTTCGGATAAAAATTCGGGAACTGCCATTCGGATTTCGGATGCTTCGGGATTTATGAATTTCAGGAAATTCGGACGAATTTCGATTCGTAACGAAACTAATCGCACATGTCTAGTGAGCATGCGCTAAACGTACGGATACCGCGCCATTGAGCGCAACACTATGGTGTAGACGGCCCCGTATACCCGATTGTTCACCCGCTCTCCCCCGCCATTGCGATCTCACTCACGGAATGTTACTTCTTACATCTGAAACTTGGAAAGTGAAGGAATTGGAGATCGATCCCCCAAAAAATACCATCGACTCCAATATATTAACAAAGGTGTTTTTGCTTTTTAACTTCATCATAACGAATGTTCGTAAAGTTACGAAAATGTGGCGAAACGAACGAAAATCCGTATTTCGTACGAATCCGAATTGAGTTTCGGACACGAATTACAAAATACGAAATAACGGATATTCCGAAACGAAACGAATTTTCTGACGGCGCACAAGTCTAATGCTCACACACCTAGCGTGCCGTAGTGAGCGCTGGTGCTTTGCGTTGGCGTTTATCTGTATGGCGCTTGCAGTGCTTTCCATGCAGTGGTGTATCCGGGTCATGGCACATAGGGGTGAAGAGAGGGGGGGGGGGGGGTGGCCAAGCCACGGAGACAGCTGACTTTTTGTCTCTCCCCACCCACCTGACACTGCATTCCGGCCCGATTCTGGGCCCGAACGCACTGCATCGCATTGTGGTGGGCTCACTATGTTGTGGGGCAGGAGGTGGGTCCATTGAAGTGAATGGCTCTGTAGCCACGCCTTCCGGCCGCACGGGAACGCAAGGCACATCAATGCCTGCGTTGCAGTCCAGTCAGAAAAAATAGTGCTACGCACTGTGTCTGATGTGAACGGGCCCTTATATTATGTTTCTGGGCACCAAAATTGACTTAAGTGTATTTTTTACAGAAATTTGGGGTGTGATAAAGAGTTGCGCTAATATTATGCGACGCAGAAAATTGCAACTGCCGCCATTTTGTTCTCCGGGGTCTCTTTCAGGAAATAGATAATGCTAGGGGGGAATTTACCTCATTTTCAGGCCTAACATGCGGATTATAACATGTGCGTAAATCCTTCTGGCAGGGAAAGGGTTAGGGCCTATGGACGCACATCGTCTCCTACAGGAAGTAGTGAGAGATTCCGGGGACCCCTGCGGGTTGTTCCCTCCCCATGTACACAGACCCGGACCAGATCTCTGTAACTCTTCATTTATTGTAACAATTCGTTTTTCCCCCCGTTGTGGGCGTGGCAGGGGGGCGTGGCCTTCACCTACTGTACATAGGTTAGGATATAAAAGGAGCCCCTCCCACTCATCTCATCAAGGTGGAAGCTGCGCATTTGTCTGATACCAATACGGACGTTTGTGCCGCAACCCGCTCTGTACATGGAATGACACCCGCGATAAAAGTCACCCCGCAGCACACGCTTAGAACACGAGATGTTGTAACGTTGCACACACACTAAGTGACTTATCGGGTTGAACCTGAAGATTCATCTGCTTATCTATTGTCTTCCCGGGTTCCTCCCCTCCCCCCTCATCACAATGCTAATTTGATTCAGAAATAAAACCTTTGTGTTTCTATTACATGCTGGTGACGTCATCGCTGGGTCTCTGTGCTTCTGTATGCAATGCAGGCAGATCGTGGCTGGTGGGAGGGGACGGCAGGATGCTGTGCATAGCTTCCTGAAACAATCACAGCACCCTGCCTCTGTATTCCTTTCAAGAGCTCTCACCCCTGATGCAAGCATTGGGCCGGCTCTTGGAAGGAGTTATGCAAATATGAAAACCGTTAATGGGTGGGTGTCAGTATGGTGGAGGGGGTGTTCCTCGGTAGGCTGTATTTGCATGCCAAGCCCACTAGATAACGCCCACATGTGATGCTGAGCCCCCCATGATTGAAAGACATAGAAGAGGCGGGGCCAGGGACATTAGGCTGGAAAGGAAAGGGCTAGATGATTCTAGACGTCCTCCAGACATGAAGCTGGGACTATGTGACTTGCCGCAACTTCTAATGCACATTATGAGGAGCTCCCAGTTAGAGGGGGAAGGCCGGAGGCAAACATCTAAATCCCATTGTATTCAATGGGTCTGGTTCACACCTTGGAGTATTTCTGCCCGTCCCTAACGCGCTACAAAACGGCCCACGCCTGAAAAGGTCCAGGTACTACTTTGGGCCGTTTGTGTTGCGCGTTTCCATTGGGATACAGCCAAGCGATTTTTTTTTTTACCGCGGTAAAAAAACACGCGACAGACGCGCATATGCAATACGCCTAGGTGTGAACCAGGCCTAAGACTGACGGTATTTGCCAGTGGGCCTCTGGGCGAAGTCTCCCTCTCGCTCTCACTCTCCTTAGAGAGAGAGAGAGAATCTGTGTGGACTGGTTCTTCTCCCTCCAACCTCTGAGAAGGTTCTACCGGAGTGTGATGTTGGACTGTATCGTGGCTGTAACCATCCTGAGGAGGGTAGGTGTGCAAAGGGGCTATGCCCGACACAGGGTGCCGTTCATGGTGGCCTTTCTCCCTAAGGGGGAGGAAGCACTGAGTCCCGGAGAGGTGGTGGAAGCCATGAGGCCCGGTGTGCGCATTACTACACGTGTCAGAGTGTTTGCACGAGGCCGTGGCCCCTGACCGTGGGGTGCCTGGTGTCGTGTTGCAGACACGGGGTTACACAGCCGACCCAAAAGGGAACACACATGCAACACCCCGAGAGAGAGCCCCGCCTACACAGAGGTCGGATGCAAGACGGACGGGAAGGCCGGAAGTCGGATGCATGACCGAAGGGAAGGACGGAGAAAGCCATTGAGGGAAGTCATAACAGGAGGAAGTCATAGAAGGAGTCATAACTGGAGGGAGAGAATAATAGGAAACAAGTCCTGGCCGGTGGAGGAGAATGACAGGAAGTTGTACACTGGGAGAGGAAACAACAGAAGGGACAGTAACGCGGCCGCTCTCCTATTCATCTCGCATCCAAATAAACATTTCAGGCACGGCCCGATCCAACAAACACCGCACAGAAAACATTCCGAATACCGCCAGGAACACGCCAACATGTGTTCACGGTACGTCGAGGTGTAAACAGGGACTGAAATCAATGAACACACGCGGCAAACACAGGAAAAAAAAACATCCACAAATACGCGTTCACGGCACGCCAAAGTGTAAACAGCGACTGAAGTCAATGGGCGACATGCAACAAACATGGGGAAAAACCCCCGCAAACGTATGTGAATGTGACGTGTGATCGCGGTACTCCGAGGAGTGAACGGGGACCAGGCAGTTTATTTTGTATCCTTTTCAATGATATTGGAATTGTTCAGGAAGGTGATAGGAAGTGACAAATGACAATCATGTCCCCTCGCTGCATTGAATCTCCAGCCAGCAATAGGAAGAACAATGGAGGAAGTCATAGAAGGAAGTCATAACCGGAGGAAGTCATAGTACACCTTGGAGTATTTCTGCCCGTCCCTAACGCGCTACAAAACGGCCCACGCCTGAAAAGGTCCAGGTACTACTTTGGGCCGTTTGTGTTGCGCGTTTCCATTGGGATACAGCCAAGCGATTTTTTTTTTTACCGCGGTAAAAAAACACGCGACAGACGCGCATATGCAATACGCCTAGGTGTGAACCAGGCCTAAGACTGACGGTATTTGCCAGTGGGCCTCTGGGCGAAGTCTCCCTCTCGCTCTCACTCTCCTTAGAGAGAGAGAGAGAATCTGTGTGGACTGGTTCTTCTCCCTCCAACCTCTGAGAAGGTTCTACCGGAGTGTGATGTTGGACTGTATCGTGGCTGTAACCATCCTGAGGAGGGTAGGTGTGCAAAGGGGCTATGCCCGACACAGGGTGCCGTTCATGGTGGCCTTTCTCCCTAAGGGGGAGGAAGCACTGAGTCCCGGAGAGGTGGTGGAAGCCATGAGGCCCGGTGTGCGCATTACTACACGTGTCAGAGTGTTTGCACGAGGCCGTGGCCCCTGACCGTGGGGTGCCTGGTGTCGTGTTGCAGACACGGGGTTACACAGCCGACCCAAAAGGGAACACACATGCAACACCCCGAGAGAGAGCCCCGCCTACACAGAGGTCGGATGCAAGACGGACGGGAAGGCCGGAAGTCGGATGCATGACCGAAGGGAAGGACGGAGAAAGCCATTGAGGGAAGTCATAACAGGAGGAAGTCATAGAAGGAGTCATAACTGGAGGGAGAGAATAATAGGAAACAAGTCCTGGCCGGTGGAGGAGAATGACAGGAAGTTGTACACTGGGAGAGGAAACAACAGAAGGGACAGTAACGCGGCCGCTCTCCTATTCATCTCGCATCCAAATAAACATTTCAGGCACGGCCCGATCCAACAAACACCGCACAGAAAACATTCCGAATACCGCCAGGAACACGCCAACATGTGTTCACGGTACGTCGAGGTGTAAACAGGGACTGAAATCAATGAACACACGCGGCAAACACAGGAAAAAAAAACATCCACAAATACGCGTTCACGGCACGCCAAAGTGTAAACAGCGACTGAAGTCAATGGGCGACATGCAACAAACATGGGGAAAAACCCCCGCAAACGTATGTGAATGTGACGTGTGATCGCGGTACTCCGAGGAGTGAACGGGGACCAGGCAGTTTATTTTGTATCCTTTTCAATGATATTGGAATTGTTCAGGAAGGTGATAGGAAGTGACAAATGACAATCATGTCCCCTCGCTGCATTGAATCTCCAGCCAGCAATAGGAAGAACAATGGAGGAAGTCATAGAAGGAAGTCATAACCGGAGGAAGTCATAGAAGGAAGTCATAACCGGAGGAAGTCATAGAAGGAAGTCATAGAAGGAAGTCATAATCGGAGGGAGAGAATAAAAGGAAACAAGTCCTGGCCGGTGGAGAAGAATGACAGGAAGTTGTACACTGGGAGAGGAAACAATAGAAGGGACAATAACGCGGCCGCTCTCCTATTCATCTCGCATCCAAATAAACATTTCAGGCACGGCCCGATCCAACAAACACCGCACAGAAAACGTTCTGAATACCGCCAGGCAAATTGTTCTCATTGTTACAATCAGACACAATTGGGCTGATGTAAGAATTTGGAGAGTCTTAAAGGAATCGTCCACTTTGTGACAAAAAATAAACTTGTCTACAATGATAAAATAAAAGTTGCATTTGTGACATTTTTACAATCAGGCCTGAAGAGCATTGCACCCGCAATGAGTGTGATGCCCAGACCTCCTTCCACTGTCCCCCCCTCCAAGGCTGAGGTTGGTATGAGGGTGAAGGAAGTGCTGCAGTGAAGGATGAAAGATCCCAGATTGGACTTGTAGTCATTGTAGGCAATCATCCACCTGGGCAACACAGCTCTGTGGACATTTGCTCGGCCTTCACGCCACTAGATGGAGCTGAGGAGCATATGGATTTCCTATCCTATTGCTGTTACTACGGTAACATGTATTTATTTCCTATGCTCGTCAGCGCCATCTAGTGGCCATATTGTGGTATTTTCTTCATTCATTGGCTCTGTTTTGTAGGAAGGAACCCATTCAAGAACATTCAACCACAAGATAAATTACAC